GGAAAGAGCACTGCATTGTCAGTTCAGGAGAAACAGATTATTCCTTTTTCTAAGACCTTTCTATCCCTAGATAGCTTACATCATGTACTGGGAGTTGCATTCAAAGGCAGCTTGAATTCAGGTCAAGCTTTGCCTACTTGCAGTAGATGGATGTTACTGATACAAACGTTTTACGCACACCGTGCAGAGATTTATTAAAGCTGCTTCTGCCAGCCCCTAGTGTACTTAGCTTTCATCTGGGCTCACGGAGAATGGTAAACTATTCGTTCTGTTTATATGAAACACTATTTTGACAGATTTCTTCAGAAGTAAAGAAGCACAAAAGGAGACATCCTGTCCTTTGAAAACAACTGGAACCACTGGCAAGAAGGAGCAACGCTGTGCAGCAAACGAGGAGACCCTTTCCAGGTTACCAAAACATGCCGCTAAACTGAGTTTTGCAGCTGCGTTTCCAAATGTACCATGGGATGCATCAAATCCAAGGCTGGTTTTGCAGGTGCGGGCGCTGCCCAGGATGAAGGGGCCGGGGGAGGCAGCGCAGGATGCCCCGGGGAGAAGTCCTCGCTGCTGGCGGGGCCGGCGGGCGGGAGGAGCGCCTCGAGCGCGCTGGTGCTGGACTACGCGCAGCGGCTGTCCCGCGAGATCCTCGAGCAGGCGGTGCAGCAGTGGGCCGTGACCGAGAGCAAGTACAGCGACATCCCCTTCATCGAGAGCGATGTGCCCTGAGCCCCGCCCCCACGGCCGCCGGCCCCCTCTCGGTACTACTGCAAATCAAGTGAATCCAGCCCTGGCTCCAGCAGAGTGCCACCACGTGAATGCGTTTGCAAGGAGAGGCTGAAAAAAAATTGCCTTTTAATCCATATTGCTAAGAAACTAATTGGATTACAGTCGAATCTATTATCAAGTGTCATTTGTTACCAGGCGTATGTTGAGTATATTCTGTCTTTGTATGTGCTGAATGTGCTAATAAAGGGGGTGAGAAGGATGCGGCTGCCCTGCAGCTGTACAAGCACTGCCACAGAGGCCCTGAAGATGCTTAACAACAAAGCGTGGATTATTTTTATGTACTGCACAAAAATTGAGCAGCCTGTTTGTAGCTGAAAAGAGAAGGGCTCTCTCGGCTCGTTAAATTTGTCTGTGTTTTGCTAAAATGGAACGAAGGTCTGCATGTAGCAAAGGTAACTGCTGTCATCAATTTTACTTTGATTCTTAGACCTGACTAAGTCTGTATACCACAAAATAATGGAGGTGATGGGAAGCATTTTATAAAGCCAAGCAGTATTCAGGGAACCATATGAATCATGATACTATTCAACTTCCATTCTTAGCCAGTGAGAAATATCATGATAAACAGTGCATTATAATTCTGATCCTGTGGCTTCTGTAAATGCATGAAGCCTAAAATCTCACAGTAAGGCAGACTAATGACACTTGATCACTGTGTTCAGACCAAAGCGCTCCAGTTTGTTTGTTTTGTTTTTTTTTTTTTGTTTGTTTGGGGTTTTGGTACTGGGTATTTTTTTTGGTGTTGGGGTGCTGGTTTTGGGGGGTTTCTTTACTGTAACCCAGATAGATGTGCAAAAACTACTGACGCTAACTAGTGAAATGAACTTCAAGGTGTAACAACATTTTAGGACTATTAGTTTCACAGGAACTATGGCTGCAGTACCTCAGCATTTCAGTCATGGGATACTGTGCCTGCCTTCCCCTTGGTAAAGCCGTGTATGGTGATGCAGAAACGAGGTACAGAACCCAAAAGCCCAAGCAGTGCACTGAATTAGTGAATGAGCCCTAGGCCCGAAGCTAAAGGGCTCCGTTCTTGAGTGATTCCATCTAGCCTGCCTCCACACACAACCCTGCTCCTCCAGGGCGTGCAGCCTGACCTGCTGTCCTCTTAACTAGCATCTGAGATAGCAGCAAGGGATGAATTAATCATGGTCCTCTTCAAGCTACAGTTCTGGAGGCACTTTATACAAAGTGAATGCCTGGTAAAAGCTTGGGTTTTTAGCATCTGTTTGTTCCTTTTTCTACTATGGCCAGTTTAAGAGGCATAGTGCTTTTTTCCTAGATCAAAGTGCTTTCCATTTCATGTTTTCATTTTATAGAAAAATACTTTCTACACTGGCAAAAACTGTTAGCTTTTTTAAAAGGCATATCTGGTAAATGATGTAAAGCATGATTTTTCAAGCAATGGGAAGCAAGCAGAAAGAGGACCATGTAAATAGTTACTTCTAGCTTATTCTCAGACATCAGACAGTCAATGAATTGACCTCTTATGCAAACTTTGTGACACAAACTCAGTTATTTGAAATTCACCTATATGGGGAAGTGATTGTGTCAAGAGTAAAAGGTGAAAAATGCTTCTTTGTGACACAGCACAAGACTGTCATTAATTCACAGGGTCCAGACTAGACCCTGCTATTGAGACTGTTTTCAGGCTTCTGCTGAAAAAGGGAACAAAATCTGCTTACGCTGTAATGCCACCTTGTTTGAAGTGATGCTGTCTTCTTTGAAGCCATATGTAAAGTGGAACTAAGTAAGGTATTGTGGCCAATTTAAATTCTACTGCTAACAGTGACATTCCTTGGAGCTCTAAAGCATGTCAAACGTTAGATCATACCCTACATTTGCTCTAACAAAAGTCCATGCCATACAGGAGGACGAATTAAAAAGCAAAATCAGACCACTGATCAGATCAGTACATGCTGGTTGGACATTGCTTAACCAGGGTACTTAAAAATTCCTATTCTTACTGTAGCTAAAATAAAGCTTTCTTACAAAAAAAGGGCAACCTTTCTGTAACATTAGTCTTGACTCAAGAATGTTAATGCTGTCAAAGACAGTAATGAAAAGGAGAGGAAAAGAAAAAGGCCCAACTCCACAGTATTACTTGGCAGGTAGGTGAGTAGCAGATCCCAAACTGCACTGGCTTTAGGAGGGCGTTTAGGTGTCCCTGTCTCACCTCAGGGGCTGCCTTGGGGAGCTGGTTGTTGCAGTGTCTCAAACCCTTTCTCTGGATGTAGCCTTAGCATCTGGTGCTCTTCTGGAGTCAGAAAGCAGCTTCTCCACTGGCAGTCTGCTGCTGCACAGTCCAACAACAGGCAGAATTATAAAATAATATGAAACAGCCTAAAGTTACATTGTAGCATCTGTACTGATAAATACTCAAAATTTCCCCAAAGGAGAACATTACCTGGGTGTAATTAACTGCATTACAGGGAGCTTCCTGTTGGAGTCCCTGCTCAGAGAGCCACCCATGACAGCAGCTGAACCTCCTGCTGCTTCTCCAGCCAGCCAGCCACTTGCCTGCAGCCACAAGGCTCGTTGTCCCTCCTTAACACTTGAAGATTACAGCAGCTTCAAGAGGGCCTGAAGTGCAGTTCCAGCTGGTTTGTGATGCTCTCTGTGACACGGGCACTTCAGGGGAAGCGTGCAGCAAGTGGCAGCAAAGGGGCTTGCAAACAAGCGTACAGACAGCAGGGAGACAGCTTCCCACCAGGGACATAACCTTCTACAAGGCTCTGTCCTTAGTCAACAATGCACTTGCTCCTAAAAAAACCACAGATCTGTCCAGTACTGCAGTGTGGTGAGAGAGTGAAGGACATCTCTTTTCAGAGTTCTGCTGTAGGTCTGATAGGCACAATACATAACAAAAATAAAGACTTCTTTGCCTAAATAGAATTACATCTGTTTACTTGTCATGAGGTTACTCTAAGCTGTGCTGTGTCTTACGAAGCCACTTATGGTGGCTTTCCAGCTAGGTTGCCACCGGTTCCTTGACTTGATTTTGTATAATAAAGGCACTTCAGTATGGGGCTGGCACACTGCAAAACCGTTTACTTCTATTAGGAGTTTGAAAATACATCTGCTTTATATTTTCTCCAGGAAACGTAAGTATCGTCTGAGTGGGTACAATGTGGCTGACTTGATACTCTAATAATGGTTCAAAATACATTAACTGCAGCACAACTTTGTACAATTGACATTTCTGGAGTAAGACACATCAGTATTCCCAAATAAAACATGCTACAATATATTTTTACAATATTTTTTGTGGAAAATATTTTCTTGTGGACCAAATAAAATTAAACTTACCATCTGCTTGCATGGCTTTTATTTGATAAAACACAGACTGGATAGGGTCTTCTTACCATGAGTTTGGGATAATTTCTGTTCACATAGATTTTGGCAGCAACTTAACATGCAAGTCAAAGTTTACTGATTCAAAATATACTCTTACTAAAAGGTTTCAAATCCTTCCCAATCAGAGAAGGCACAATCATGCCTAATCCCTGGGGATTACTGTGTTTTTCATTACAGTCACTGAAGATTGCTCCTTTTGTACAAAAATAATGGAACAAGCCAATGTTTCAAAAATTAAATTAAAAATAGTCATTGTTTAAGAATCTAGAACATACAAAAATTTTAAAAACTAAAGGCAGTGGTGTACATTTCTTACAGACCAGTGTGAGGTAGAAATTCCAGTAATATTTTCTGAATTACCCTAAAAGTATTAATGAAACCTCTCAAGTACTTTTGAAAATAAACTTAGGGACTGTTTCACAACAAACATGTACATGGTAATACTAACAGCTGAAATTTTAACAGATTTAAAGGTTCTAGTGACAAAGCAAGGTGCCCTTTTTTTCTTGACTTTGCTCTCCATTTTGCTCACCTCTAACTCTTGGAAAGTCACTCTAATAGTTCTCCTTGATGCCTCAGTTTCCTGGATTTTGTTTCCAGGCAACAGCTTCTTGGAAGGAAGGTGCCTTAAGCCAGTGCAGACCATTACTGGCAGTAATAAAAACAGCTCAGTGTTGAAACCTCTGCAGTGGTTCTGCTGTAGCTCTTTTTGATTCCCCAGTGCTGATGACTGACTATGTTAACTGAACAAAAGTTTTATTCTTTTAGTTTCAGTGGTTCATCTTCAGAGAAGCCAAGATTTGTGACTTGCCTATAACTGCAGAAACAAGCTGGTAGTGATACATGATTTGAGTGACCATAAAACAGCATGCAGTGGTAGTGTTGAAGAAAGATTAGTAGCTGGGTGTTATGTAGACCATAGAACAACTATTTCACTCCCCCCCCTTATGCTTTTATCAGTGGGCTCTGGTTATGTCATATAACATCAAGTATTACTAGGATCAGAACCCAGCAACCTTTAATGCACATACCACGAGGGGGTTTTGATGTATTTGGATCCCAACAAATAGATTTGTTAGGATATGTTGTGTTAAAAATCTATACAATGCAGGTAGCAGCAGATATTTCATGGTTTCCCTTATTTATCTTCAGAACATACTGCTGTGTTCCCCCTACTCTTCACAGATTTTCCACCCAGCAGACAGCATGTTCATGGGCACAGGCAAACAGGACCCCAGAGCAGTTGGCATAGATAAACTCTCAGTCTGAAGGCCATGCTGACCTCTACTATTAAAATCAGACAACCACCAGCATCGACAGGAAAAGTGCTGCTTAGTGCTCAGAGGAAGGTCTGAGGCAGTTATTTCTTCATCCCTTAAGTCTGGGAAAAACTAGCTGGTTTTGAAACCATGAAAAACTAATTATGCAGTTCAATCAAACTTAATGGCATTTTACAAAAACAATTGGTTTTACAAGCAAGCAGAAGTGTGCTCCAGGCTCTGGCAGTATTATGACATTTGAAACAATGTCTACATCACATGGCAAAACTGAATACCGACCAAATGTTAAATCAATAGAACAATTTCTTGCTCTCAGACTAATGTGTCAGTCTGATCTTTTATTTAAAAGACTACTACACACCATGGATTTAGTATATCTTGCTTTCTCATTTATAGCTCTGGCTGTTTTAAAGCTTTAAGTATATTTGATTTTCATTGTATAGAGCAGAATCTGAGGCACAATCCCGATTTAACAGATCAGTGACAGAGGCAAAAACACAGAGGCAAGAATCTCCTGACTTCTTGCTTACTAGGTCATCCCTTAACTAGGCTCTCTTTCTCAAAAGGTTCCTCATAAACTAAGAGTTGATGCAAAAAAAAAAATGTTAATCACTGTGTAAAGCAATAAAAATAACCATTTGCTTTGACGTAGTTTTGCCCCTTATTTACCAGAGATATGATTACCTCACTATTATGGCTGCGTAATGAAAGAGAATGTTCCTAAATACAAAAAATTAGACTTAAAAATCTCATGCTAGCTAAGAGAGTCTTGTCAAGCTTTATCACACCAATATTAGTTTTGATATCATACAATTAAGCAGATGTATAATATATCAATAGGCTTGATCTTTACAACTTGAGATCGTTGTTTCCCAGTGGCTTAAAACAACTGTCCACAAATTCATCACTGACTTCTTCTAGAGCAGCTGGTTTCCATCTGGGGGACTGGTCTTTGTCAATCAGCACTGTCAGGTGGAGCACAAACACACACAAGTTATAAACTTTCTCTAGTGAAGATGACTTCACACTGCATCAAGACAGACAACTACAATGAATACATGGTGGAGAAAGGTCAATGTGCTCTGGAGAAGACAGAGGTTTTGTTACAGATAGATTTCTAATCTAACAAAAATTGTTGAGTTGTGACCTGTCTACAGAAACATCTGGGAGTTGCCTGATGATACAAGGAGCAGTGGATCACTTCAGAAGGAGACCAAGCTTTGAGAGAGAGTATAAACTGAAATTAGTGCTTTCTGTTAGATCTACTACTCTGGCCTGAGTTCTGGTTTTTCATGTGGAACTGGCAACAGCATTCATGATGCTCCTTTTGGACAAGGGCTTTCACATCTCTGCAAAATCTGACTCTTTGTAGATTATAGGAGATGACTCAAAGTAGGTGTTAAATGCCTAAAGCTAATTTAAACACATCATATAAACTAATAATGAAATAAATAACCACTGAGAAAAGGGTAAAGCAGAGCATCTCTGTGAGAAAATCAAGAGTACTTAATTGTAAATACTGACAGAGCAGACCTGTGCACATTTAACCATTAAGACCTGTATAATCTCTGTATGTATACTTTAGGCTGTATCCTGGGAAATGCATCAGTGCATATCAGAAAAGCATCAGCAAATGAATCCCATGGAAAAGTGTATCCTTGTGCCAGAGGAAGGCTGAAGGCAAGTCAGCAAGAACAGCTGCACTAGCAAACAATAGGACAAGGAGAGAGACTCTGCATGTAAAACTGACCAGTATGAGCAGAATTCCAGCATGTCCTTCCAAGCACCCTTCTGGCTCCAGGAAAACCAACAAAGGTGCTATTCAAAGTGGGGAGCTTTTATAACTGAAAAAAATCCAGCTGTAGTGACTGTGGCTCTCTAGGATACACTGACTATCCCACCTCCCTCCTCAACACACATTCCCCTCAGATGTGTGATTTCAGCAACTGATTTGGAGATGCACCTGTGTCCTGGGAGACCTCCTGACCAACACCACCCACAACATAAAAGGGAGGATGGGCAGGAAGCACCTCTTCATTTCTTTCTTCTTTCTCTCTCTGATAAAGGGTTCAGAGTAGGATGGTTCTAAAGGCATGTAGGCAGAAGACACAGAGACCAGATATTTTGGAGAACAACAGCTGTTTACTTGGTAAGTTATAATGTCTTCCTAAACAGACTTCATTCTTAGTGACTAAGTTAGAAACATTCAAGATAAGAAATGTGCAAAGGAGCTGGAGTTTTAGTTCAGCAGAAAGAATGCCTAAAGATTGTGCCTTATCAAAAGACAGGCATTATGGTAGCTTGTGGTAAAAAAATGTGTATTGAAACCTTCTTTTTAACTTTTCCCTCTATAACCAACACTTGGAAAGTACCTAGAAAGCAAATACCATTCGAATGACATCTGTACTTATTGATATTTCTGTAGCTGAAGACATAGAGGCATCACAATTCTAGCTTGTATCTCCAAAGAGAAAGGAGAATTGGAGCCCTGCATCCCTTTACATGCAAGTACAGGACTAAGGACTCCTTGGGTACAAATACATGTTAATTTTGAAGAGAAACCTGTTACATAGATAGAAGCTGCAATTCCATAGAAAGTAGAATCCACGTGGGCAATTCTTTAAAAGAAAAGTGCTGTAAAAGACTGATTTTTCTAGGCCGTTCCACAGAGCAACTTACTGAAAAGTTATGATCCTACAAGTTACTTTTAAACATTGTGATGTGAAGCCATTGATTGGTCTGGGTCCAAATATAAAATTGCCTCAAATCAACTATATTTGTTCCATTAGAGTAGTATGTATCTAACTACTGTTCAACTTTAGTTGAAGTTCACTATCTAGCCAAAATAATCTTGACTGTTATCCACAGAATCCAACATTGACTAGATATGCCTGAAGTTAGGAGAGAAAAAAAAAAAGTCCATGTGCATATCACTACAGCTTCAGCTCTGAAATAGAATTGCTGATAATCCCTCACAATATGGCACTACTGTATCATCAAGGGAATCCTTCGTTTTGGTTCTGTGGCCACAACTCTTGTAATAGTCTCTCCAATGAAATCTTAGCCTATTAAAATATTTATTTTTAATAGTATTGTGAAAATATTCCTTTTCTGCAGTAACTTCTGTAGATTTTGTGTTTCTCCAGCTGATTACTACAAGAATGGGATGAGAATTCTGAACACTTCAAAGGTAGGCAAAGGGAAGTTCATTATGGTAAACTCAGCAGATACTGTGTCATGGGCTTATTCTTCTTTTACATCTTAAAAAAATCCAACCCCCCTCTGTTCATTAGGAGTAACTTTACTGGATTTCAATTAGTGGTCTACTGCCTCCCTTCATTCAACTCAGGCAAAACCTGGGTATTTCTACACACCTGAAATTCTGTTGCCCTGAAATCTCTCTACCTGTCCCTGCCTGCAGTAGGTTTGTGTGCCCAGGGTGAGGCTCACATCTGCCAGCTGCCAGCACTGCAGGAGCCAGGGCAGAAGCCATATGGACAGAAGATCTTTGCAGGATCAGCAATACTCAGAGGGCCTTTACAGTTTCGTTTGAAGTGCACACTCCTGCACAAATAAGAGGCTAACTGAACAGGTTTTTGTGCCCTCAGACTGCTGAGAGTGTAGTTTACCTGGGTACATCTGAGCACTGCCTCCAGAAATGACCACCTTTCTTAAGCAGCAAGAATTAAAAAACCAAAATTCTTGGAAATGACCCAGAGAGATGGGATTCTTAGTGTATGTAGTATTCTATAAATCAAGGTGAAAAATGGGCACCTGAAGTGTGTAAGGCCACATCTACCATTATGTAGGAAAATGCTGATGAAAAATGATCTATGCATTTTATGCTTTTAGGGTTCTGGCTTTTCTTTAATGGCTCCAATCACAATGGGTAAAGACTGTTTGCCAACAGATTGTCAGTCTTCTTGAAAAAGAAAACTGGCTAAAAGAAAGAAATTTTGACCTGAAGTCAAAGGAGGTTTAAAAAGCTTTCAAAAAAAACCTACCTCCCTAGCATGCCTGTTAAGATTATGGCTTGAAGCAGATAAAAGCTGTTACTAAAACCTGACCTATGGCCACTGCTGCTGGAAAAACAATCTTCAAAAATTAAAATCTGCTTATTATGTCTTTATTTTGTGGTAGACGGGGTCAACAGCTGGCTCTTAAATGCTTGGAATGTATTGTTTTAATGAAGAAAAAGCTAATACTTAAATTAACACTTTTATAATTGTCATTTTTCTTCACTGTGGTTGATCCTGTGACATGCTTAATAATCTTATTTCCTGTTAAAAAGGATGTTCAGCACATTGGCTAATGATATTTATGACATTAGACCCAACCACAAAAATAATCTAGAATGAAAATCTGTACTACTTTTATTTAAGAGAAACAATTTTAAGAAGACAAATCTGAGAAAAGGATAGATGGAGGAAGCAGAAAGTAAAAGTACTTCAAGAACAAATTATTATTAGTAATCCCAGCAGTGCAGCTGGATCTCTGGTGTTTTTTGCTGAGCAATATTTTTTTTTTTGAGCAATATCTGGTGTTTTTCCTTCCCCTGATACAGATAAGCCTTTGCTACATCATCCTTTGTAAAACAGAAGCTTCCCAACTGCTGTTCTTGCAGCTGCTTTGTTTACAAGCAGTTTGTGTAATTTACTGGCCATACTGACAAGTGATTTTTTTAAAAAAAAATTCCCCCCCCTTGTCCTCTACCACATCCCCAGGTGGTTTAATAACCTTGTGCATTCCAAGCGAGAATACGGTTTGGTGTTCACCTGACTCTTAGACTTTGTCACTTCCTGAAAAATAACATTTCAGCAGCTTACCTGCTGATTTAGAGTATATCCTAGGAATATTTTTTTTAAGATCTTTGTCCCCATTACCAACACAATGAAAATGATTATACTTCTCAACATGTGTGGTAAGTTGTTCAAAGGAGTCTCTGCTAATAAGTGCTGAAGATTAATTAATAAAAACCAGGAACATTTTCCATGCTGTACAAACAAACTGTATCTCTCACCCCAGGCTATCTTTAATGCAGTATTACTAATACTGAACACTCAAACTAATATCCACTACTTGAGTGGATTCTAAACTGCTTTAAAAAGACAGATATATAAAATGAGGAGGAGTTCATAACACATACTTGAATATGTAACTGTGAATTAAAACCAAAGTTCCCTCAACCTCAAAGTGTTATTAATCCAAATGTCTTGTACTGTAAGCTCCTTGGAAAAGTAAATACCTCTGCTTTGTTCCATCTTGTGCTGAGTAGTACATAAATAGCTACTACAGCTTCTAACAGATGCGACATTGGGCTTTACAAACTGCATAGTGAATCAGCAGTAGAATCAAGGACAGAATCTAAGTCTGTCCCCTAGATAAACTTGCTGAGCTGCTGTTGTACTTTTATCACTATCTGTCTTGACCAATGCCTTAAAATGCTGAATTATTTAAGTTTACACATACTGTTTTTTAATAGTAAGACACCTCCGCACAGAGGTAGTTTGGACATTGGTGAAGGCAATCTCTGCTCTAACAATTTTCTGTGCAAACAGTTGTTCTTGACTTTGATTCTTAAACCATCTTATAGATGAATGAACCAGCTGTATGTCAACAGTCTGGACACACATGACACATGTAGCTGCTCGCTACTGTCAGCATTAAATATATTTTAACTTTCCCAGTGAACTGGTGAAACCTTTTCATACTGCTGTGTTACCAGGTAGAAAAATAACATTAAACTGAGATTACACAAAGAAAACAAAATCAAAAAAAAAAAAAGGCTGTTACACTTTGGAACATACAATAAATTTTGGCCATACAGGAGTCCAATAACCAAAACTGTAGCAAGCTAGGAAGTGTTCTCTGGGCTGTTGCTGGATGCACTTTTCTTAACACCCAGAGAGGCAACACAACAGTGAGTCTGCATGTTATGAGGTTTGAGAAATGTTTCTGGTGTGCATGCTTACCTGCTCGAACCCCTTCATAGAAGTCATTCACTCTCTGAAAGATTTAAAAAAAAAAAAAACCAAAAGCTGTAACATGACAGATTCTATTTATGCCATTGCTCCCTGTTCCACTTCTGCTTGAAACACAAGTTCTCAAGATTCAGTTCAATTGCACTCACACTGTTCTCATCTAGTCCCACTTTCTCTTTAAAAGCTCTATATTCTCTTACTTAAATGCAGCCACAACTCTTAAAATTAGTCTGAACTGCAGTTGATCAGCCAACTTTTATGCAGTGCAAGACATCTCTGTGTTGCACCTCACAGGCTTTTTTCCTAGTCTGATGGGAGGGTAAGGTTTTTAGGATCAGAAATCCCCAAGAGACAGGCCAGTCTTCAGGAATTGTGGTGTACTCTGCATACTTGGAACACTTTGCAGTTAAATGGAAACCTAGAAACATCTAGTCACTTTATGTTTAAATCCCTAAGGATGCCTCACTAGCTTCAGGAAAAACGTGGCAAGGATACTGTCAGGCACTACGACATATCGGATACATTTTCACTCTTTTTTTTTTTTTTATAAAGCATTTACTTTTAACAATTGCAAATTTAATCAGGTGCATAAAAATGTTATTTTAAAATGTGACAAAACTAATAATAAGGATGCCATGGGAAAGCTTTATGAGTAATTTGTTCAGATAATTCAGTTAGCAATTCTGTTCTACTGAGAGGATCGCTTCCTCATCTGTTATCCAAGTACTCATTTGTAGTACTCAGTGCTACAAATAGTATTAAAATCTCTTGATTTCTTTAATAAATTTTTCACAGCACTTCTGAAAGGCAGTGATATAAAACTATTCCCATCCTGCTGTTTATTCAGTAACTGAAATAAGAAATCTGTTCAAGAACATTAGAGTTTTAAAATTATGATCCAAATAGAAACCTTCCTATTTGTTACATTATGGTTTCCCTAACAAGAGCCCTCCACAATTCCCATCTGACCATCATTAATGTAGGACCTTTCAAGTTGCACAATGTTCTACAAAGACATGGAACAGGAAAAAGAACTGGCAGCCTAATAAACACACACAGAAGATATTGAAAGCTAAAACCTATACATTGTGAGCCCTTTATGTGATCTATACAAAACTTAAGTCTGATATCCTTGCTAGTCCTCTGTGGCTGGAAGAGGCGAAGGGCTCAGCGGCTTGCTTACCATGCACGCTTGGCTCAGTCTGTATTCCATTGTCAGTACCTCTTGTAAGCTCATGGAAGCTCCTTCTCTGAGCTGTCTGAGAGTCAGTTTTAAGGACGTAGGTGACATCTTATTAATAGTCTGGGGAAAACATTAACAATTATTTGCATTCTTCTCATACACAGATACTGCGAGTCTTTTTTGCATTTTAAACTTTGAAGTAAATGATGACACCTCTCCCTGAGCTCACTTCTGTGGTGCCTGTTTCTCCTGCTCCCTCCCACCATGCTGTCATGCTGAATGAACTTACTTGCATAAACTTTTATCAGCTCTCCCTGGGATGTATGCCACCCCTTGTGGAAAGCCTAGAATTCTGCATGTTTTATGATCATTCGTGATCAAGTTACCACTAGCTAGAGAATCTAATGCAGCTTGAAAGCCATTTCCAAACAGATTAAATGAGAAGTGAAGGCAAATGTTACAAGTACGTACAGCCCATTTTTTGAATGCCATATATATATTCTGAATTGCTCTTAGTTATTACTGATATTGTATCTGATATTAATATTGTATAGCATTTAAGTTTTATTTGGTATAATACTGAGTTTAGCTGCAAACTTTAGGTAGTTGCTTTATGATCATTTGCAAATACTAGACAGTATATGAAGAAAACTGGAAGAAAAAAAATATTAAAAGAAATCAAACAAATGCATATTGATGTAGGTTTCTTATCCAAGATCAACTGATACTGGAGTAATTTATCCCTACATTGCTCTGCTGATAGGAAGCCTGGAGGTCTTGCCTGCCTGCCTTTGACAAAGCTACAGGCTATAAAAATTATTCAACTCACAGGATCTGTTCAAGACACACAAACAAATGCTGTAGATCTGGCTCTCATGACTATCCTTCAATTAACAGCATGCCAGTACACAGTAGGGGGAGGTGGGGAAAAAGACAAAAACCTAGTTAAGAAAGCAGAACTGAGCTTTAAAGCTTTCAGAGCTGTGGAGGAAAGGAGCTCAATCTTATTGTTGCTGATCTTTGTTTTCTTACTCTAAACAAGACTCCTCTTCCTTTGTAAACCCAGCTAAAAGCTCTGTATTATTCACAGTACAATAGACATTTCCTGTTAATTAGGACATTTCTATCACTACTGAAAAGCAGCAGATGGGAAGATTTGCCTCTTTACATTATTTTCATTAGAGACATTAGACTCCTTATCCACAGCCTGAAATGGCAGGTTTCCAGTCATCAACATTAACATTTTTTCTGGCTCCAAATTACTCTTCATCCCTCTCCAGACACCAGCTGATACAGCAGTGACCCATTTTGCCTAGTTAAGCTGGAAAACATGTAACTGCTACACAAGCAGGAGGCTGTGCAATTGTACCTTAAAAGCACTAATTCTGTTATTTGCCTGTTGACCACTTTGAGAGAGAAGCTGGTTTAGGAAGAACTAATGCTGGCTCAAACTCAAAACTGTCCAACTGGACCTTTCCTCCTTTGAGTTTCACATTCTGTCATCTAGATTAGAAACTCTTTGCTCAGAGCAGATTAAATGGTATGCACAGGGCAACCAGGTGGCTCCATAGGTGAAATGGAAATAGCAAGTTCTTTCTGGTCAAAGAAAGTCCTGAAATGGGAAAGATCTGAAAACAGCACTTAACTAGTCTAGTGCATCCAGCAGCTGCCTTATCTTGGCATATCAATGAGGCTGAAGGTGGAGGAGGCACTGCCATAAATCAAGCTGAAGGAAGAGGAACAAGGAAAGAAAATGGGTAGGTGTAATTGCAGAAAAATGAGTCACTAGTGTATCTATAAATAAATTTTCTGTACAAAGAGGAGGAGGAGAGGACTGGTGCTAGGGAACAAGCCTGAAAAGGAGATAGGATAGACTGAAGCAGGCACTACTAAAATGAAAACAAGTCTTCATAGACATATTTGACTCTATTGCAATGAATTTGAGACCATCTTGATTTCACCATAATGACCCTGAAAGCTACAGGCTGAATGTGCAATAGACCTGCATACCAATAGGATACTATCAGAAGGTGATTGAATTAAGTGGCACTGACTCAGGGGAGTTCCTCACAAGAATGAGCTGCAATAGGGACCACATCTTTTGTCTCCAAGGCCTGTTAATGCTTCTGACCTGAGCTGCTGAGTGTCCTTCAGGGAGGCTTTCTTCAACTTAAAAGCAAACAACACAAAAACCTCCCAGAGGTCCAGTGTACCTCTTCCCTTGCAATAGATGAAGACACTCATCACTTACTTTCTGAGATACCGAAGTACTTGTTTGTCCACACAGAACAATGGTTCTGCATGAGCTTGGACAAAATACAAGTCTCCAGCCAAAGCATCCCAGGAAAGCTGCTTAAGGACAGATGTACCACCCTCTTACTTCTTTGTTAACAGAATTTCAGAATGCTTCTTCACTCAAATTCAACAATACCAAGACACAAGCCAGCTTTATTCCTGTGCTCTCTCTCAGCCACCTGCTGGCATGCCCATTTAAAGCTTCAGGGCCTAGTGTCTTCATCCCAGCCTGACCAGTAGCTCTGGACAAGGTGTCTTGTAATTCTTAGTCTCTGCATTGTCCTACACACTACACTACATATGCAATGCATTTAGTAACAATGAAGGCTATTAAATCATGAAGTATTGGTGCTCAGAATGGGTACTTGCCAAAAAATGCTGTAAGAAAGCATCATGTGAAAATGAAGTCAAACATCTGATGCTTTTCAGGTTTTGACCCCACATGCTTACTTCATTCATTTAGAAGTTTTAGTGCTGTCACTCATATTGAAGCTTTTAGGCTTGTGCAAATCCTGAAAACAAAGTAATGCTATAAAATAAGAGGCTTTAAAAAATATTTTACTGAGTTCAGAAAGTGTGTTAGTACTCTAACTTATTTGTAACTGGGTGCAAAATGTGATTTAAATTATGAAGCCATTCTCAAGTAGAATTTTAACAACTTTACATTCTTCCTATTTATGCAAATCACTTCAGGATCAGTTATGTGAAAGCCTGCCAAGCAGATGTGTTTTGAAAGTAAAAAGCAGAAGTACTGTAGATCGCACAGAACAGGATATCTGGGACAGCACAGCTCACAAGTGTATTTGGATTAGAACAGAATTACTAGTTCCATTTTATTAACACTAAAAGGTTATCTGTACATCTAAGGTGTGGATGTACCAAGTTGTACTTCCAAATCAGGGTATTTGTATTAGTCTTTAAGTTTGAGATCATATTTATTATGAAATGTATTAGTAAGCTAACGGAACACAGTGAGACAAAATGTAATATCTTGCTGTTACTGAATGCCTTCCAGTCTCTGTATTTATAATGTGAATTTGTTGTTTTTCCTGGAAGAAACTTGGTTTCACAAAGTGACAGGAAACTATAATCTGTGGGCATACTCCTGGTACTGTGGTACTAGTGATGAGGAAAGTGACTTGCTTCCCACGAGTCAGTGAACTGTCACCAAGGGTAATCTCAGGCTGTCGTGGGTGTGCTACATGTGTCCTGCTCTGACCAGCTCTCTGAGAGACAGCAGGCCAGTGCTCTGAATCTGGCTCTTGTAAAATGCTCAACTGCCAGGGTGCAAGCTACCATTCTTTTTCCAGCTACAATTAAGTTTAATTACAATTTTGCTTCTCTAGTAAAACAAAACCTCTAGTTTAACTGGCAAGCATTTCCTGGAGAAAGCCAGATTTATATCTGAATCCCTTTTTAACTTTTTTTTTTTTCCACCCCCACAAATGCATTTTCTTTCTTTAGTCTTGTGGATCTTTCACAGAAGAAATTAAGTACCTGGTCCTACAAGCTTACTTAAACCTACTGCCTAGCAAAGAATGTGTGCTGTTACAACTTGTATGAAATTTATGCACTTGTTCACATTAAAGGGCCTTGAACCTGCTAGAAAATGTGAGGGTTTGTTTTGGTTTGGCTTTTTCTCCACAAATTTCTGTATCAAGAGAAGCTACTCATATTAACACAGTCTCATCTCTCAAACAGAACAGACAAAAGACAATTGTTAAGGAGCTTCTGTCAGCTCCAAGGACAGTTGTTCATTTATGAATCATATAAAAGAAAAATGCTGCAAAGTCCTATTAAGGACATGAAGTAAGAAAATCAACGAGCCAACAAAAGAGCTTTTGTTGTTGATGTTGTTGTTCAGGAATTAAGATTTTGAGTAACTGATTTTTTTTTTTTAACTCTGAAGTAGATGACTTCAGTTTAAGTTCAAAATTAAAAATACAAAACAAATGTACCCCCATAAACAAGAAGGAACAAGTAGATTTCATTTTTTTTTTAATAGTGGAGATCTGAGTTATGAGGCTGCCAGATAAAGGAAACAAGTTGAGCAGGTCTGGGCAACTAGAGCAAATGTGGCAGAACAAACCATCTAGTTAACATATTTCACTAACAAAGTGTTTCCAGACTCCTTGCATCTTTTGCAGTAGAAACTGAATTTTGAACAAAGCACCCTTTAAAGGCTATATGCATTTTAAAAAGTTCCCCTAGGTCTGATTATGTTTTAAAGTGCCATAAAATAGTGTGAAATTAGTGTAAGAAAAGCTATATGAAAATAGGTCTTGATTTGTTTTTTGACCTCCACTGAAACTAATCAATGTAACATCCCTGCAGAATTATATTAAACTTCAGAATATAAAATCCTGCCTTGTAACTCAATACTATAAAGAAATAAGAGCCACCAAAAGTGACTGCTATCAAACTGTCTCAACAGACCTTAATATAACTACTTTCTCTGCCAGCTATAACATGGGGAGAAAGTGAAGAACTGAATCACACAGCCTGAATAGTTTGGGGGGAAAACCATGATGGCAGCCTATGGTACAGCTCAGGTCTACAAACACATGACATGATTATTCTGGCACTAGCTCACTTGTCTACTTTATTCAATTTAACTAGAATACAGGTGTTGGGAGGAGGGAATTGGCTTTCTCTTTCATCCAGTTTTGCTTTTGTAACACATGCTAAACTTCATGCAATGTACTAAGCACACTGGTTGGCACAAAGGTAACTTGAAAACTTCCTTTCTCAAAAACTGTTTTGGGAGTTCCAAAGGCAAAATGTTAAATCTTTTTTATTACAAACTAAGCCCAAAAATATAACTGTACTTGGGAAAGAATGCCTAATGATAATGATACTACATTATAAAGTTATATTCCTCTGCTCCAAAGTCCAAAGATGAGTGTTTTATTTTATTACAAGACCAGGATTTCTTCTGTGAGCTAAAACTGCAGTTAAAGCTTTTGTTGGAGAAATGCTTTGTTCTACCCAATTGTAATATTTGATACTTCTACAAGACATTTTTTATAAGTCATCTAAATACAGACACTTCAAAGGAAAAAAACACATGCATTACTTATAAATTAAGTTGCTGCTTATTTTTGAAGCTGAATTGTGTATTAACTGTGTAGCATTACTGTTCATTTTCTGAGTAGTGACTACATCCAACACTCAGAAATGCATTAAAAAGATCAGAAAGTACTTTGTGATGATAAATTGCTTGCTGTTTATGCAGATGAGATATCTGGAATGGAAGAAAACCCAACATTGTTCTGACACTGTTTTATTCCAACCCTTGCCAATAAATTGAGAAGCTATAAAAGGAACCTTTGTCATCAACAACCCCCAGATCATGGTGAGGGGGAAAGGGAGGAGGTTTTTTTTTGTTTTACACTAGATTAAAACATATGATAGTATTCACATTGTGTGGTTTTACAGAGGAATACTCTTGTCTTGAGCAGAACTACTGATGATCCCATAGCTCTCTGTGAGAACCTGAGGATCTCAGTGCAATGTCCTACTGGTGTTACACAGTATTAGTTTTGTTAATAAGGTGACTCAAGTCTGCCCCATGGTGAGGAAGTACAGAACTAGATAAAACCTCCAACAAAAACAACACAGAAGACATTACCTCTAGCTGCTTAATGGCAAAAGGAGAACCATCTTGCTTTAACTTTTCAACCATTTCTTCCATGCTATTTGCTGAAAAAAGACTATAAGAAAAAGAGTTAATGAAGTGCTTCAGCTTTCCTCTTCCCTATGAAGTGCTAGTTATACAGAAATTAGAAACAGAGTGTAACCAGCTGATTTGGCTTTTTTTAGCAATGTGTTCCCTGTTTAGTTTTAAGTAACTCAGTTGACAGGCATCACCTCTTTACAAATCTCTAGCATTTCAATAAACCTCACTTACAAACTCTGGTATCTATCCAGAAATTTTAATTGCTACTACCAGGCTTGCCTGTGTTTTTATAACATATAAAATCTTTAGCTTTGATTTTACTGGTTTGGTGTCAATATCTTTTTTCTCTAAACTCAGTTACTGCCGTCCTTATTCAAGAGTTTAAGCTGCTGCTTATCACTCTCACCCATTTCTCCTCCCCCTTCTAATACACAAGTTCCAAACAGTCACAGAAGTGTCTTTATACCAGTGAGTATAAATGTGCTACGTAATATTTCCTGTCCAACTGAACAACTACTCTCACAAATCCCCATCCAATTCCTATAGAAAATGTTCATTTTAATGTGCCATTAGGTAGTTGCTTAATATAATGGTGTATGAATCAGGCAAATATGCTCAAGCATTTAATAAACTGCTGAGTGAAATAGAATCATAGAATCCTTTAGGTTGGAAGGGACCTTCAAGATCATCAAGTCCAACCACTGAGCCATTAGGGCTCTAAAGTCCTCTGCTAAAACAGATCAGAATCTGTCAGAGCTGGAAGGGACCACAAGGATCACCCAGTTCCAACCCCTCTGCCATGAGCAGGGACACCTCCCACTAGATCAGGCTGCCCAGAGCCTCATCCAGCCTGGCCTTAAAGACCCCCAGGGATGGGGCCTCAACCACCTCCCTGGGCAACCCATTCCAGGGGCTCACCACTCTCATGGGGAAGAACTTCTTCCTCACGTCCAGCCTGAATCTGCCCACTGCCAGCTTTGCCCCATTCCCCCTAATCCTGTCGTAGTTAATGAGCTTCAGATAAACCTCCCTAAAAACAAAAGTTTAAATGGCTAACTTGAATGTTGTTTCTATCACTTTATCTGTGGAACACTGACACTGTCATTGCATCGAACTTCATGTTCTCTATCAAAAAGAACAAAAGAGAAAGATTTCTGAATACCTGTTAATCTTCTCCATATGTTCATCAAGGACAAACTGCTTTTCCTGATCAACTTTGCTCTATATAAAAAGCAAATACACATTTTATTTGGTTAATTAAGACTGAAAAGCTTATCAGTACTGAAACATTTCAATGACTCGTGTAACAAATACCATAATATGCTCTATGAACATAGAATAGTTGTAAGAGACTGACGTTTGTAACTAATTACAGTTTTGCAGTGTGTGTAAAGAACTTGCTGCTTTATCTTGTGCATGTTGAAGTTGTCACCTCGTAATGCAGTGCTTGCTCTGAGCTACTATGCAAGCATATTTGACTGGTGGTTATCTTTTACACAAGTAGTCATGATTATTCTATCAAACTAAGAACCAGCATAGATAAATCTATTGAAAAACATAAGATTTGTTTTTTATTATGATTTTCTTAAAATTATACAAGCATGTATATAGGTTTGTGGGGTTTTTTTTAAAGAAATGCATTTCCTTTCCTTTCTCTGTTGCTTTACAAAATTTTATTAGACTTCTAGAGGGTGTGAAAGATCTGTTTGCCTTATGTGTAAAGGCTGTCAAATGTTTCATACCTTCTGGCATTAAGGGGTTTAGGACATAAGCAGATGTTTCAGTAGCAGCAGCTGAAACTGAGAAAGGTTTCCTTGTCATTTCAGCTCTGATACCTAAAAATACACAGCTTCCTCCTTCATTCAGTGTCATCTTGTAAGGCAGTATACTGCAACATGTAATCACTCCTATTTCAAAGCCTCATTTTGTTAGAATAACCAGTACCACTATGTAAATCAGCTTAGCCCATTTAATTTTCTAATTAATTCTCATATATGGACTCAGTAATTTCAAAACAGAAATAAGAGCAGATACTGGTCATTTTAAAGCCAAACAACTAGGGAGTAATACTCAGATTGACTGAATACACTGAATCCTGATTTGACTCCAGAAGTTTCCTTTCTTTGAGATAAAATTACAATACACATCAAAATGGCTAAATTGGCCAATGACTAAACTGATTGTAAAGCCAAATCCTTTTATTTTCATGCCCATGGGGCTAATACAAATACTAGTGATTTATTATCCATACAGTTACATTCACCTCCAACCTCCAAAATCATAACAGAGAATGATGATTTTTGTCCAAGGAAAATGGTACCTTTCTCCCCCTGGAAATACTGCTTTAAGACCTCAGATGATTTCTCTACAATTTATATGCACCCCAATAATATTTATCTTACTGTGAACTCCTGGGCTTATTCACAGTCTTTCAATTATCTCAAGGTCACAAACAAAAACTATGTTAGAAAGTAAAGGAACAACTTGAGACTTGAAATTCAGGCTTCAAATCTGGACTGCAGATGGTCTGCATCAAAATAATGGTAAAACTTCTGGCACTACAAAGTCTGCAGCCTCTGGACAAGGCCAGTAGTTCTGCCCCTGTGTTTGTCAGAACCCCTGAATCTCAGACCAGCTCCCCAGGCTGCACTTGCACAACTTCCAGACTGCTGGTGGCTATTGTGCCTTCTGCAAAGCATGCTAGAAATCCAAAAATAATGGAGGAAATTAAGCAGCAGTATATTTTCTGCATCATCATGCTACTGGCTGGAAACCTCCATATGCATATAGAAAGCAAGCAAGCTGATCACTGGAGGAACTTGAGGGGTATCCAAAGAATAAAAGTGAAAAAAGACTTTACTATTTAAATTTTGACCACTGTAGGGATTAGTGCTACAAAATACTATTTTATAGAGTACAAAGTTTGGAAACCCATTATTTTTAACCATAAAAAAAATGACCAGTAGCATGGATAAAAAAGAATTTGTATTTACATCTATTTATTTAACAATTCTGCTTGATTTCAGTAACTGATCAGATTACCTTCACATGGTAAGAGTTCAGTAAGTCTGCAATATTTTCTATTGAAGGAGATTTCAGTGATATCAGGTCTTTCTCCAAGGCAGGTAACTATTAAAAATAAGATTTAATTGAAAGTAAGGAAACCAAAATGTACTTCTTGGATTATTATTGCTATGGTAATAGTACTATGTAGTATATATGAATATAAACACCCCTCCCACCCCCACAGCTTCTGGACAGATCCTGAAGAGGTAACAAGCAAACAATACAAGGAGCCAGAGTTCACTTTTCAGTGTTGAACCATCTGGATTTAATTATGTCTGCAGGGATCAGCAGAGAACTCTGCTTCCCAAGCAGCCTCCCAGTGTAAAGCTACAGCTGCAGCAGGTAAAACCAGCCTACAGTGCTCTGAGAGGAAAGAGCAGGAGCTTGGCACCCATGCTATGCTCAAAAGAGTATCTAAGTAGCTCCACAGTGAGAGTCATAGGTCTTTACACAGAAAAGGAAAGCAAGTGTTTCTCCTTCAGTTATGCTCATGAAAGTTACTGGAACATTATGACTCTGAATTTATCAGCTATACTAATTTTCACACTTTCTTACAGCCACTGTAACAAACAAATGGGATATCTGTTAAAGAAACTGATAAAGAACACATTAATGAGGTGTTACCTAGATTAAAAACCTCACAGTTGTATAAAAAAGCTCTAATTTCAGACACTGTTGCCTAAATTGTACAATTTCTCATGCAATTTCAATTACACTCAGCAAATTGTGCCCTTCAGCAGTAGAATCATGAAGACAGCAATATTTGCTCTGTCTTCCAAGCAAAGCTGTCAGTAGCTGGCAAGTGTTATAATGACAGCTTGAGAGTATCTTAGGGCCTCTTTTCACAGTGCACGGCCTGCTGATAGAATTGCACCTCTGCATACACTCAAGTTGGCAAAAGTATGTCAGTGTGCTACACAACTCGAGCTTCTCGTTGGGGCTGTGGGCTGTGCCCTTGCTAGCACTGGTTAGCAGCTTACCTTTTCAGACTCTACAAAGTGTGTTGCAATGCCAGCTTTTACTACGTCTCTTCCTTTCAGCCTAAAGCCTGTTAGTGCAAGGTAATAGCCAATCTTTCCTGGTAGTCTTGGCAAGAAATATCCTCCACCTACATCAGGAAAAAGGCCTGTAATGAACAAAACAAAACAAAACAAAACATGAAGGGAGAAGAGCTTGTCCAAATCATGCATATAGCTTAGTAGCTGTTTCTTCTTGTCTCGCTTTCATCTTCCTGACTTAGACACAGCTCTCTTGCCAAAGTTTATCCTTGACTTAGTTTGACATTTGTGTCATCAAAACTCCTCCTAAAAGCAAATTCTTGGATGCTTTTCAAGCTGTAGCCTTTCCACTGGCACATAATTCACAAACATATACCAGACAATAGCGTTCGTTCTATTTGCCAACATCTTGAGACATTTTTAGAGGCCTGAAGAATTGAGCACGCTCTCAGAAAACAAAACAAAAGTGGCACACAGAGTTGTGAAATAATGTGTGCAAACTCAAACTGGATACTTTATCTCTGAAATTTTTTTTACACTAAAAATATCAAACCATAGTGAAGTGTCTCTTGCGCAGCTAAGTGTGAACAAACTTGCGGGCTGAGAATTCGTTAACAGATCACCAATATTGCCAGGGGCTGCCTGAAGTTGGAGGCATGAGATGCTGAGCTAATACCTGGCTCTTTGACAGGACGACGACTAACCACAATTAAAACAAAAATCTAAAACTTCCTAGTTTAGTGACTGTCTTACATTTGTATTTTTTTTTACAGAGTAGGGTAACTTAAAAATTCAATAAAATTTAAAATATTTTTTAAAGATGTAATTGAAAAAATACACAACTACTTCTATCAAAGTTTAAACATCTAAAATCATCACTGTCAATATCTATTTTATTCTGCCATATACGTTAATCATCCACAAAATAGATTCAAACGCTTTGTAGCTTTTGACATACTTACACTTAAGAAAACTTAAGCTGAGCTGTATCAGTCTCAGAAACTGAAATGCAAAGAAGCAGTGTCCAGTTCCTACCTTGAAATAATCACCAATGGTGCATACATGAAAATGAAAGTCTTTTGAAGAAATTAAAAGCTTGGTGTTGTTTTTTTTCAGTTTGAGAGAATAAGTGTAGCATGAAAATAAATTTAAAAGAATACAAATCAGCAATAAGAAACTTGGAAAATACTTGCCAAAATGGAGGTAATCACGGGGAAGGTTAAGCTGTACATAAGGAGTTTAACTGGGTTCTGACAGAAGGTGGCCATTTTTCACTCAGTAATTGTTTTCAGTCACAAAAGTCAATGAATGTATTGCAGAAAGAGTCTATTACCAGTATTTTAAGATACAGGGAACTAGTGATGCCCCTTGGATGGACTCATTAGAAGATTTCTTTCAGACAGCTTCTCTTCAGTGTTTTCTCAGTCTCTAAAGTGCATCGCCGGCTTATGTTCTCACCATCTCTCAGCTTCTCTGGTTCCCTCCTGGTCCTCCTTTAGTTCTGCTGCCTCTAATACATCACCAAGTTTGGTTTAGGAGACACTTCCTATCAGCTATGGTTGTAGTTATATGCTGATGTGTGTGTTGCCATTACCTGATTTATTCCTCATCCCACAGGCTACTGAGACATACAGCTCTTCTCTTAAAATGCTGAATGTCTTGTTGTCACCCTTTAAAATCCCTAAGCTGTTAACCCAAATTCATCACCCACCTTATTTTTTATCTGCACTCACATTCTGAATAGTCTACTCTGCATTTTATCTTCTCACTTTGAGCCATCATATCTATAATGTTGATGCCAAGACTGTCATTTAGTGTTGTTTCTATTCATCTCTCTTCCTTGGGACATCCTACTACTGCAAAAATCCCCTTTCAAATTGAGCCTTCTCTTACAAATGCCTTCCAAAGCAAAAAGGCAATCCCATTACTCTCCCTGTCCACCAGGACTGCAACAGCAACAACCTTTCCCTCTTGATTAAAATACCAGTGCTGAGGTGCTATTCTCCCCATGCTCCAGTAAATTTCCAGAGGAAAAGCCAGCCTCTGTTTGGGATCTATAGGGCTCTTCCACGTGGCCATACACAGGGAAATTGGTTCTAAATAAACTGCAAACTTGATTAGCTTAAGTTGCTTTAGAGGTAAATAAAATAAAACTGCATGAAGGTTTCCTTACTTGTGAAGAAATTTATAGACAGGATTAGTGAAGGTTTAACTAATCCACTTGAAACTCATTTGGTTGCATAAACGTAGCCTGCAACAGCTTCTACTGTATCCCTGCCTGTCTGTCTCATAATTTTACTCCTCTTGTCCTTTCTACATATTCCTTTTAATTCTCTCAGTAATACTTCCCATATGTTTCTGCTTGCTACTGGGTTTCTCCTAACTACATTCCATATACCCAATTTTTTTTTCCCCTTTTGATAGCATTTACCAGCAATTTCTCAAATCACTGCTTAAATAAGAGAAGAACTGACTGTGTGCTGTGCTGGCCAGGCTGAAAGCCTGACCCTGCAATGCTGGCTTGCAGCCTGTGCTCTGAGACAGATGCAACACGCTTCACTGTGATCCCAACCGTGAAACTCTGCCGAGCATAAAATAAAAGCAGCAGTGCCACATTCCTACCTCATCTTGCAGAGCTGGTTAGAGATTTATTAGTAAATGACTTATAGAAAGCTAAGAACTTAGACAGATATACAAGAAAGTGTCCACTATTATTACAACGTCACCTTAAAGCCCTCTACTTACAATATACCTTCATCCTTTGTTCTTCCCACCGGGGGTTTTCCCACACCCTCCTACATCTAAGCTGCTTTCCAGTATTTTATCTTATCTAAGTCAGCTGCAGACTCCTACAATCTAGAGCTGCCTTTTATATCTATTTGCAAAGTGCCATGTCTATCTATATCCTTTTATTTATGGTGGTGTATAAATGCAGATTAATTGTGTGAAAATGTAGCAGCTGAATGAATACTGTTTTCATTTCATAAAAAAGGTGTAATGTCTACTGCAATAAGTGAATGTATGAAAAAATACACTAATACAATATCTAGACAGCTAGGCATTTTAAACATACACCACAGAGATCAAAGCAGCTAAGTCCTTAAATCCAAACAGATTTCACTGGGTTTACTTCTAATTGATCCTAAAAGGGTTTTAATTACTTTCTTTCCTAAGCGGGTTCTAAGCTTTTCCTTCATATGTCTTCACAGTCTATTTTTATTTAAATAACTCCTTGTCAAGACAAGAAATGCATGTAAAGTGCATAATTTTTGTTAACATAACACTACTTATACCTTCTTTGCTTTCCTCTTCAAAGGTACTTTATTATTAGAATAATTTTATGCGCCAAAGAACCTCTCTGTTTAGTATTTTTCAGAATAATTGCTTCCTTTAACTGGTTTTCTTGTACAAGGACTGATTATGAGCTTCACAGGAGTGTCCTGGTTTGGGGCAGAACAGAACTAATTCTGTTCAGTGATTCTGCTTTTCAGCTAAAGCTCTTCTAACTAACTGCTCTGTCTGAAGTTAGCAGCATTTTCACACAGAGTATCTGCTTCTAGTGGTGGTAACACTCCAGGTTTAGAGTTACTGCCAAGGACTGGTGTGCAGACCAAGGCCACTGCTAAAGCTTGTGGACCACATGGAGGAGGGCAGACAGCAAAAGCTGCACCTGCAAGGAGTGGACAAGGCAAGTGACCCTAAATTGGCCAACAGGTATTCCATCCCATATTCAGTATAAAAGCTGAAGGATCACGAGGGGCAAGTTCTTCCACCTTCTTCCTGGCTTCTGCTGCTCCTGCAGCTGCCGCCTCCCGAGGAGGACTCCGTCCATCCTGCCTTTGGGGGCGGCCCCCGCCCACCCTGCCTCTGATCCCGAGCCCTGTGTCCCTGCACCGAGTTCCAGGATCCAGCTCCTGGACCCAGCTGCCGTCTGTGGCTGAGCCCAGCCTGGGACTTCTCCCCAGGGCTGCTCCCCAGCATCGGGGGTGATGGGGCTGTACTGCCATCAGGGGGTGCTGGGTCCCATACTGGGTTTGTATATTTTTGTATATATTCAATTTTATTATTATTACTAGTAGTAGTAGTCATATTTTCATTAAAGCTGTTTTATTCCTCTAATCTATAAGTCTCTCTCCCTTATTCCCTTTCTCTTTTCCTTCTGGGGTGGGGGGAACGACAGGGGTTAACATAGAGCATCTGTTACAAGTCTAGGGGTGCCCCTCACCCTAAATCATGACACAGGACCTTAACAAATTTGTTGTACTAGTGCTTGAGTTATTTAGTTTACTAAGCTTTCCTTCAACAGAGAAAAATATTTGGAGGTCTGTAATAGTTTGTTTTTCTCATCCCAACGTATTTGTTCAGAAAAATTACATAACATTTATCAACTAGCAGGAATTGCTACAGAATTTTTTCTTCAGGAGTTAAAATGATAATGAGCTTGCTTAAATCTGGGGTGGGTTATTATGCTTTATTTGGCTTGATGCAGCTCATTTAAGGTTTTAAGAACTTCAGAATGTCTTATGAAATGCTTCATACAGGCTGGAGAGCAATAAACAATAGGAAATATGTGTAAGACATCCTTAAAAATATGAAAAATTCTGGACCTTTTATGTATTACTAACAGGTGGCACTACAAAAATCCCATCATTAGTTACATGTGCATTTTAACTTTAGTTGTAATGACAAGTTGGATGGGCTTTAAGCAGCCTGGTGGTAGTGTCCCTGCCCATGGCAGAGGGGTTGGAACTCAATCATCTTTAACGTCCCTTCAAACCCAAACCATCATGTGATTAAATGACATTACTGTACTTTATAATATTCTGATTTTGATTTTAGATTTTAATTTTTATTCTCTTTTCAGAACTGAGTCCTGATATTTTTTTAATCATTATTTCTTAGTTTTAATATAACTGTTTGGAAATTATTTTAATAAAATATTGGTCACTACTCTTTAGAACTAATTCTTTGAGGTGAAGCTAAGTCTGAACTTCATAGCACCATGCCTGGGGACATTTAAGCTGTTGAACCACTGGAAAAGGTTCTCTCTTCTCAATAAAAGTGCTCAACAGGGCCACATATTACAGACTAGTCTCATTCTCCTCCCTGAGGACATAAAAATAAGAGCAATTGCAATCATCTTTCAGCTGCCTTGCCTTGGGAAGATGCAGAAACTGTTCTGCAGGAGAGAAATGCAGGATAGGTTACAGCACTCTTCACAAACATTGTGGATAAGCAGGGAGAAGGGACTTGGACCTTGATGAAAGAACTAATGGACTACATATGCCAGACAATAATAGGTTCACTGTTGATACCCTGGTGCCAGGATTGTCTTGAAAGGAAACATGAATGATTTCATTAGAGGGTTCACTTTAAACTGACTAACTTTTCTTGAGCCACACCAACATCTTCCTACAGTTCTGAGCCACAACATTTTGTACATCTCAGAGTTGACAAGCTGTAGTATCAAACATTAGAAAACACAATGTAATGTTGCTATTTAAAACAAAACAAAACAACAACAACAACAACAACAAAAAAAACAATTCCACTGATCTCATGTACATGCTGTCTGCACACAACTTGAAAGGGTCTACATTTATAATCTACAGGAAAAGCTGGAATTTCAAAATCTCTCTCATTAGCATTGCAGATCAGCTTGTAGTGCAGCCAGTTTGACTCACACCGAGTTCCAAATGTAAAGCTGGCATGCTTGCACTGGGATCTTCAGACTTTATCTGTCTGCATCTGTAGCAAAGACTTAGTTGCTCAGATCTACTTCCATTTTTAAAAAATTGTATCCTGATGGTCTTTGTCAGTCTAAACAGTAAACTCCAGGTTAAGAATCTCAATTATTAACCTCCCAGAATAGAAAGTTTATATTAATTTAACAGGAAAATACTTTTCATCTATGGTCATCTCCAATTCCCTTTAAAAATTCTGCCACTACTGCCGCTGCTTTCAGTCAAAGACATTTGATGAGTGAAACTTTAACATGTGAGCTGTTGAAATACCTATTGCTGTTTCTGGCATTGCGAAAAGTGTCTTTTCTGTAGCAACTCTGAAACGTCCATGGACTGAGACACCAACTCCCTATGAATGGAGCAAAAGCAAATGACAAAGTTATAAAATTACCAGTAAAAATAATCACAGCCACAATGCTATGTAACAGACTTCTTTGCTCTACAATTAATAATATTAGATTTACCATGCACATATCAACAAAATACTAAAAGGCCTTTCATGGTTCAAACACTAATAAAGCACCTTATTACGTTTATGATTTGGCTGAGATAGCATTCTGTGCTTTAAAAGATTAATAAATTATACAGAGATTAACTTAAAGAAGTTAAACTGAGTGACATCAGCAGAAATGAGTGTCCCCATTTTCTCCATTAGACAACTAATAGGGATTTGACAGCCTTTTGCTGTTACCCCATCAATAACACTTGCACCTACTTCAAACCACCACCAACAAAAAATGCCAATATTTTTGGAAAATACAATAATTACACCTATTTTTTATTATAATACTTTTAAAATAAATAATAATTAACAGTTCTTATAATGTGATAATCTACTTTATCAACACAGAAATGTTTTAAGCAGGAAAAGCCTCCAGTGTTATTAAAAGTCAATGTATGTGGTTAGAAACTCACTTATTTAACCTGGAGACTTTGGTTTTCCAAAACAAAAATGGAAATAGAATTCATGTTTCCAAGTACCTAGCCACCTTCTCTAGCAGTCCTTCCTGGTGAGAAACTTTCCTCAAGAGCAGAAGAGCTCCTAGGGATGACTATTGCATATTTTCTGTTTTAGGTGGTAAGCAGCAGCAAGGCCAAATAAAAATGTATCTTTTCAGTTCTCACAAGATTAATTTAATTTAGATTATTGCTGAAGAGGCAAGCTGACAAATTTAAAGAAAAATGGTTATCTTATTAAGATACTATTACTTAGTAATAGTATTTGAAGTAATCCAATAATATTTGGATTACTGGGCACAAGCACAACATATGGGTAAAAGATTCTCACTTCTCAAAGCTTATCTGGATGGTATATGTCAACAGAAATGGGAGTTAGATCCTACCTGGAGACAAAACCCTTTACTGAATAGTTCACAAGACATTTCTTTATACAATTATTTTCTCTCTCTTCCTTTCCATTGTTTCAACTCCCTTTCCTCACTGTTAAACTCCCCTTTTCTTAGTCCTTCTACCCATCCAATTTTTCTATTAAAACTAAGATACCTTGAATATCACTGGCCAAAAGAAGCCAGTGTCTCACGAAGATGTGATAGACTTTTAAATAACATTTCTAATTGTTTAGATACTAGGAAAATGGCACTTTACCCAAATAAAGCTACTAGCTTTTACAAAACTTTTCACAGTATTACATACCTTCCATCAAAACCAGTGGGATTAATTATGTACTCTTTGCTTGGATCAGCATTATATATTTGATAGGTTTTTAAGGAGAGACTAAAAGATAATAGAACATCTTTTCAGTTTGCTTACCTACAGAGATCTTTGGGTGTAATAAAAAAATTACATCCATTTCCTCACATCATTCTCATGCATTTTTTTCCCCAGTCTCTCTTACAATTCTGCCCAGCAAAGAATTGTCACTGCTTATTCCAGTAGGGTGACACATGACTAAAACTGAAAACACCTTCAAGTTTTTTTTCTGTAAAATGAATATCTGCCAGTCTCTAGTTTTAATATACATGCATGAAGTTTTTTTATTACAGTCAAATTTCTGGAGAAATGGACATTCAAAGTAACTGTCATACTTGATTTAATATCCAGAGACTGAGACAAATCTATACTCCTGAAGTACTGCTGTTTCAAGTAGGCAAATGGGGTTTGAGCAAATATCTGAATCTTATTTGCATTGGGTACAATCTTATGTCTGATCCCTTCAGCCCTTTCACTGAGGACTAGTCAGAGGCTGTAGATCTGAGCAGCATCCAGGGCAGTGGCCCTCTATTTAGTTCTCCTGCAAATGCAAAGCTACATGTAAAGCTATGTTCACTCCTAAAACAGCTCTAGAACTGTTAAATGAAATGGAAATGTGACTTCATCACTTCCAACCTTTCTTAGTATCATAACAGCATATTTTCACTGCAGTTGGTAGAGCCTGCTGTTATTTTTATGCATGCTCAGCAATAATGACCTTTTCAGAAAGACAATGAAGTTTAAAAAAAAAAAATAAAAAATGCCCATTTTGCTCTAATGCTTAAATTATTTTTTTTCTGATCCCATATCTAAGAATACACATACTATCTAACATCAGGCATTTTTTCTGGCTTATTTTGTGGACAAACAGGAGCTTGTATAAGGACTCAAATTTTCAGCTTGAGTATTAAGTAACAAAGACTAGAGTGTGAACTCTGTGAAGACAGCTTCTCTTCCAAGCTTGTTCTTTTTTACAGTGATAAAAATAACTGTACAGTTTTAGTAATAAAAAGCTGAAGGAGGTAATGTTCTTTTGAAAGAAGTAATTAAATCAGATTTAGCTTTCTCACAGACTCTTGTGGCTTAAGCCATAATTGGATTTGTTGTCTAGATAGCCTTCAAGTTTTGTAATATAGACATGAGGTTAACTTCAGATGTACATTTAAAAGACTAAAACAATATTTTCTTCTTAGCCATTATAAAGAAAATAGTGCAAATATGTCTTTACTTCTTTGAAGAGCATTTCCAAATAATCCAACATTAAGATAAAATGAGGAGAGAAAAATGAATTAATGCTTTGAGGGTACAAATCCCAGTAATTTAGTAACCTAGTGATCATATGCTTTTGTATGTTTATTTGCAACTTCCCCAATGGTTGTTTTCACACATTCACTGTATGTGTTTAACCTTCTCCATCTAATACAAATGCTTATTAGTTGAATAGTATCCTCTGTAATTCTGTGTGGATTTCGTAATTTGTTTTCAAATTTAACTGAAACCTTACACAGCTAGAGTCCCTCCTAGCAGACCCTTCACACTACTAAAATATCTGCAGTTGAGCTGTATTCACCAAACAGTCCCAGCATTTACACATACAAGTCTTAATGCTAAATCTTTATTAAAATACACTATATCCTGTACTGTCAGAGTCCTGCTTTCCATGATCTTAAAATTTATACTAAAGCTAATGTCTTCCTTCAGACCTTTCCAAGATAATAGACTCCTATGGTGACTCAGGCTTGGTTTTTGATCCAAATATTATATCTTGATATTGGCATGGAACTTTTTTTTTCCACTGACAGATTAATGTTTAAATTTTGCAAAGGATACTTAAAGAATGAGACTAGAAGTTAAGGAGATAAGAAATTAGTAAGCAAGCAATTTAAACAATCTTTCTGTAGGGTTTATATATGAATTAATAAAAAACATAAATAAGAACAGAAATAGTGGCCTGACAATGTATTACTGGAGATAGATTGGATATGGTTACAGATTACAGATTTATTACTACATGGATATTAAGACATTAATCTTAAAACCAGTGTGTTATAACTCAACTGTTAGACTCAGTGTACCTCAAGGAGACACATAATATTATATTTGCTCTGAATTCCTCCACAAGCTTCTGAAAAAGCCAGTAAAGTATCTGAATTTTACTTCCCATACACATGATTTCTTACTTAATAGATATTTCAAAACTCATTATGTGACTGCGAAAAATTATTATTGATTTCCATTTTTTTTCTCATTATGAACACAGAAACTTATTAAAAGTATTCTTCTAATGAAAACCAAGGTGCAAATTACTCATAGATGGAGAAAGGGAACGCAGCTGCTATAAATCTTAAAAGTTAAGTTGTGGCTCAAAGGCCATATTAGCTTAAATTCAGAATGACCCATACTAGTAAATCAGGTAAGTCATCACATCTAGAGACATTGCTAAGAAATTGAGAGCCACCACAACAGAGAACCATACAGAACAAAATAAATTTGCCCTTCCTGAATGACATACATAGACATCTGTTCAGATACAGAAAGCAGACCTATGTCACAGCAAAACCACAAAACACACTTGTTTAGTGACCAAATAACCTAACTCAAGACTGTAAAGGAATCACTGCCTAGGAAAGCATAAGTGGCAGAATAAAGAAAATACAAACAGAGAAGCCTTTAGGAATGTTCCCTTTATCTTCTTCATTAGGCTGATAAAGAATTTTCAGCTGTTAAGCAAACAATTGTATGATGATACAATGTGACTATTGTC